GTGTTCCGTTTGGAAAGGGAGGGGTGGTCAATGGTCAAATGATTAGGGCAAGCAACAAATGGGTACGCCCCCCCCCCCCCGCCGCTGTCTTGTGCAGGGCAAGGAGATGTTCCTGGATCTGCTGGACAACGTTCGGCGAAACACCGTCTATTCGTTGCAGATGTACAATCCCAGCCCCAAGACATCTGCGGCTGCTGGCGCCGATAAATAACGGATACCATGGTAGATTTTTTTTAGGCCGAGAGAACGGAGGCATTACCATGGTACAACTCCGCAAACGTTTAGCCCTCTTCGCGGTACATTCGCGTAGAAGAGTGGTCTCCACTGCTGCTGTTGTTGGTGTTCGTGGAACTTTGGCAAAACAGCAGTGCTAGCAGGCTGGTAGCCCAAGCGACACAACACTTTTAGTGTAATCGAGGTATTTGTTGCTGATTGAAGGTAGCACCCGAAAGAAGCCGGATGGGAGGCTGCAACGACGAAGCATGCTGGGATGTGGTCGTTCGGTTCATCGAGTACTGCTGTAACGGCCTGCTTTTTTGCCGTACCGAAAGTATACTTACAAACCAACACGGATAGCCTAGATGCATGCTCCGGTCGACAAGACCCTGTTTGAAAGCATGTGTCGAAGGTCTTGCGGTGGGTTGGGACTAAGTACATACATTCGAAGGCATGTGTCGAAGGCTTTCCGGTGAGGGTTGGGGGGCACCCGCTGGATGATGGTGCTGGACTTGCTTGAATCTGTTTCGCCGACAGATGTCTGGGAGAGCAGGTTTTGTGGTGGCTAGCAAGGGGAGAAACGGCGGTGGGGGGGCGTCTTGCGCCAAGAGCTCGAATTTTGCCGGGAGCGTTGACTGGAAACTGGCAACGTCGAGCAGGAACCATTGCTTGCTGTCCTTTACCTGCAACCGCCGCTGGGGGAGGACTGTGACACCTACAGTAGTACCTACCTGTGTGTGGCGTGCTTAGAGATCCCCCTCCTCGAGATTTAGATAAAGTAAACGTAGGTGGTGTACAAACTAGGTCCACTTATGAGACACAGAGCCCCCCCAACTTGCAGCGTTGTGTAGGCAGTGCGATCTGCCCTCTTTCCTGCTATTTTCTATTTTCCGTCTTGCGTTATAGACAATGATGTGAGGTCTTCTCGATTGATGAACGAGTTACTTGTCAGCTTGATAGTTTTCCTCATCTGGCCCGTGGGTCGTTCCAGTATTCATGTACACCGGCAGCCAGGGGGGGATGGTTGGGTCGACGGGGATGCTGCGAGGACACACTTGATCGACGACCTTGAACACGGATTTGTCTTGTGCTATTACCAGCCCACCGTGATTGGTGGATTACTAATACTGCGGACACCTTTCCTTTTTCACTATTCCGAGATGATGCGGGAGACCATGTGCACACTTTCGGCGTGCAGCAACCTCCCTCGCCACCCGAAGGTTGTAATCAGTGCCCTAAAAACCTACCAACCCACAAACCTCGCGTCTGGCCACCCGTGTAGTGCTAGACGGCACCATTTTTTGGGTCGAATTGGTGGTCTCCAGCCTCAACGGTGGTCTCCATGTCCATATCGGAACCAATCACGCCACATTTACCATACACACCACGATCCCGTCAGTGCACGCCAACCTACTTAGATAGAGGTAAGCGACCCCTCATTTTTCTTCCACCATCTCGGATGTGCCTGTACGTACCACGCTGTGAGAAAGAAAAAACGTTTGACTCTTGTATAGGATCGAGGTGTGCAGGAGGAGCCGATGATCCCAAGTGAATGATCCCAAGTGACGATTTTTGTTGGAAGTGGGGACTGGCGTGGTGTCAGACTTGTCTCCACTTGCCAACACACCGCCGTGGATTGGAGCAAACAGCGTACAACCCAGTAGCAAGTGGCGAGAGGAGCGACGTGCACTTGGGCGAAAATCCAACCACGTGCGCAACACACAGCAGTCAGCGAAAATACCGCACAGAAAAAAAAAAAAAAATCTCCGGAACACAACCATGGCTATGTGTAGGCAGCAATCCGTTTGCTTCCCATCGCGCGCGCCATAGGGCGGTTTCAGATCACCTCGCAAAGTAGCCGTGCCCATGGCAAACGCAGCAACGCTTTTCTGCGCATGTCTCTGTCGCCTCTTGTTGCAATGCAACAACGGAGTACCGCGAGGACGACATGTTCAGGACAAGAATAGTCGGCGGACGTGCAGTTCACCATGCCCCACGGCTGGTACAGGAGCGCCAGAGGGCCGCCCATGACTAATAGCTGCGGTATTTAGTAGAGGGTCGTGACAAGCCAATAACACTCTCTTGTTTCCTCTTAAAAAGAAGCTCAATGAACACCGCACGTAATTCTCATGGCCGGAACGATCAAAGTCTTAATTCGCTCTCTTCAGCCCGTTGTTGCTCTTCTAATAATAAGAAGTATGGCAGGCTCTCTGTAAACGGACGTACTGGTCGCTTTCGTTGTTTCTCAACACCGCCCCAAGCCTCCCCCAATGGCCACCCCCTCCCTTCATCGGCGCTTCTTGCCCTCTCCCGAAGGCTGCTCTGCGACGGCCCACACGCCCAGCACGTAGCAAAGGCGGACGCACATCATGTCTCTGAGCATCGTCGCAGATGTGGTGATGATGTCGAGCTTGGAGCGGATGAGCTTGGATCCGGGAACCTCGTGCCAGTTCACTGCTACCTCCTGACGAAGAAAAGAACATACATCGCAAAAAAAAGAACACACATTGGAAAAAGAACACCTGTCGCAAAAAAAGAACATACATCGCAAAAAAAGAACACACATCGTAAAAAAAGAACATACGTTTGCAAAAAATAACGCACATCGCAAAAAAAGCGCAACGCGGGCGGGAGAGGGTTAACATGCTGAACACATCTGTCCGACAAATCCAGGGAATGTTTTGTAACTACTGCTTCCCAAGGTACATACCCAAAACGCATGGCTTGGTACGGTCATCGGGCAACAGAGGCTGATGGAAGGCATTTCCGTGTTCGTGGGATGTCTCGCGTGCATCTGCTGTGTCCGTCGACACTTTTCGACGAAACAATGCCAATACCATCCAAGTTTTCACCGACTGCAAAAGCCGCACGGAAAAACAATCGCCGCCTTACCGCCATCGGCACCCCCATGAGCTGGCAGATGTAGATGAGCTCGATGTCGAAGGCCCATCGCTGTAGGTGCAGCGAGCTGAACACCACGGCCGCTGTATCTCTGGTGAAGAGCTTGAACCCTGGGGTAAAAAACACACAAAAAACCGAAAGAGGAGTTTGCCGCAGCAATGTTTTGGCAGGCCTGTCAGCGAGTGGTCTAGCTCTACACACAGCAAAGCCACGCCAAAGGACTGGCAACGTAACAAAGGTGACACGGGACAGGGTTTCACCCACACACGGCAGCATAGCAATTTTACCGCAGCCTATCGGTCGAGTGGGCTAGCTCTACATAAACGCAAGACCAAGGTCAAAGGCCTCGAAACGAACGCAGGGCACAAGGGACATGACTTGCTAATAATTCCGCCCGTTTCATACCTCTGAGTTCCTCGCAAAACAGGGGATTTACAGTACTACATGACAGAGTAGAGGGTCTAGGCAAATACATTCAACACGCCGCTGCTGCTGCTGCCACTCTGCTGCCTGTGTGCCTCACCGCACTGCGTGTCCTTGATGGTCCGGGTGCAGAGGATCGACACACACCAATGAAAAACGAACATCAATACTGTCCGGTGGAGGGCTCTCTGGTAAAGGGGCCAAGACGGTGGGGGGCAGCAGGAATTGGCGAGAGAGAAAGGTCGTTGTTAGATGCAGCACTGTCGCACACAAGACCGTAGCAGCAGCAGCAGCAACAACACGACGATAACGACAACGTCTCGACAGCATCAACAGCAGCAGCAGCAGCAGCAGCAGCAGCAGCAGCAACAGCAACAACAACAGCAACATCGTAGCAACGCAATACACATACCCAATTGACAACCACGGCAGCAAAATGCAAAATGATCGCCTGCGAAAAACGGCTGCCGGGGGCATTCTTTCGGCCAATCCCAACTCTAATCAACACGCCCAACTACATGAGCATTGGCGAGTGAACAGGACGGTATGCATAGCGATACACACACGGCTTTCACTTACAAATGACCATACACACTCAAAAGTGTCGAGACTCAAACTACAACAAATAAGCAAAGTATGCTCACAAGCCCCCGTACTCCCATTCCACCACTCTCACGTGCAAATAATCCAAGCGTCGACTGAGTTCTGCCCGTGTAGAAAAGTTTACAGCAGACAAGGCCCACAAGCCACGGCACTCAAAAACGTACGTTGGCCGGTTCCATCTCAGAGCAAACTTGAGTGAAACACGTTCAGTCCGACTCCTGCCACGACTCGTGTCACCTACGTACCGCTGCCACGTGACCAGCAACCAACACGCTTCCATGAAAATGCAATGTTATAGCATTTTCTACCTGGACCACTGGCCGAAAAAATTGGAAAAAAAGTTTGCGCAATTCACCTTAATACTACGGTTTCGGATGCACGTGTCAAAAATTTCACGCTCACTTCACGTGTTCAGAGGCACTTTATGGCCACCATGAAAATGAGCTTTTGACCCTGATGGGAAGATTTTTCTTGCACGAAGAGCAGCTGGCGTCTGTAATTTCTGCAGCTTTTCAAGTTCTGTCATCTCGCAACGCTCCGCTCAGACTCATCCCAATTGGTGGAAAGGTATCTCAGAGAGCTGTGAAGGTGTCACCCAAATGCAAGCATCTGTTGGGGAGATTTTGGCTACTGGGTCGCGGGCTGTGCTGATCAGATCCCTCATGGTGAGATCGTGACATCCATCGCTAAAGGTAAAACCTTCGGAAAATGGGACTGGTCCCAGGAACGGTGCTGCTAAAAGAAAAAAGTGAACTTTTCGGGAAAAAAAAAATCCGAGAGCGTTTATATATTTGTGTTTTCGAAATACGTATTTTCTTACAGAAAATTCCCCTCGTTTTTGAACTTTGTCCTTTCAAAGGAAACAAAAGCACGCACCTTCGCCACCGCCTCCCCCTCCATGTGTGCCCTGCTTCCCACCACAAGCCCGTGCTTCTTTCCGGACCCCCTCTCCCCCACCGCAGCCCCGCGGACCCCCGCCCCGACCCCAGTCATCTCGACGTCACGCATGCGGATCAGCAGCCTGTCGAGGTCTTGGATCTCAGTAGCAGCGTCTGCGTCCACCATTAGACCGTACTCTCCCCTCATCCGCAGCATGCCCTGGAGCATAGGGACGGCAGCGGTTCGGGGAGAGGAGCTCACTCTGATGCCACAGTCAGCAGTTATCTATCCGTCAGTCTGTCAGCAGCTCACTCAGATGCCACAGCAGCAGTCCATCTACCTGTCAGTCTGTCAGCAGCTCACTTAGGTGCCACAGCAGCAGTCATCTAAAATGTCGTGTGAGCAGCTCACTCAGATGCCACAGCAGCAGTCCATCTACCTGCCGGTCTGTCAGCAGTTCACTCAGATGCCACAGCAGCAATCCATCTAAAATGTCAGTCTGTCAGCAGCTCACTCAGATGCCACAGCAGCAGTCCATTTATCTGTCAGTCTTTAGGCACACCTTTTGCGCCGAGGTGGAATCGTGCTGGGTACGACGTCAAGCCCTCTTCACACGTCAGCACGTGGCGCCTTCCTCCCCCCAAACGCTATCACGGCGTAGAATAACACCGTTCCGATGACACCGCAAGATGCGGCGAGATAGCACCCCCCAAATCCATCATTTTCAGAGCTCGAGTGCTCCACAACCAAGATTGTCTACACCGTACCGCATACCGTACCGTGGTGTTCCGCAAGAGGCGGAGAGATGGCTGCATCCCGCCTAGACCGACCTCCAGAGCTCGAGTGCTCCACAACCAAGATTGTCTGTACCGTACCGTATACCGTACCGTGGTGTTCCGCAAGAGGCGGAGAGATGGCTGCACCCCCCCTAGACCGACCTCCAAAGCTCGAGTGCTCCACAACCAAGAGGGTGAGGACATTGCCCGACACTTAGACAGAAAGCCCTCAGGTGAGATGCTTTCAAAGTTACCATTGTTGGTGTTGGCAAAATCATGGGTGTGGGGCAATCGGACTTTGAAAAACGGGACTAGGCGGGGTGCCATCTCTCGCATCCTCGCGGTAGAATACAGCAGTGTCGAAGCCCGCCACCGCTTCTTGAGGATCGCTTCTGAGTCAAATATCACCGGTTGTGTTCATGTTCTGGGGTGTGATACCTCACGCCGCACCTCTTGCTTGACCTGAGGGTAGGTTCATGTTTTGGGCTCATGTTGACCCGTAGAAGTAGTCTCGGGTTTGTGATATCTCATGCCGCCCTAATTGCATCATCTGACCGAGCATTTGTGTTTTGGGCTGATGTTGACCCGCAAGGACAGTCACACTGGGTGTCGCATTGTGGCGTGTGGGGGTGTGCGCTATCTTGTGTCGTATACAGTGAGATTTTCCTCACATTCTCCCGCATGACAAACAAAAAGCAACGCTCCGAGGACCCTGGCACGCCAGACCGTCCCACACCACTACCACGGGGTCCCTCAAATAGTGCCACTGCACGGTATTAATAATATATGCCACTGCTGAAATCGTGGTATACTACAAGGATGAAAGCTCAAGATTAAGGTTGTCTCGTTCTCTACGTAGCGCCGGGTGTCCAGGACAAGAACCACCGGTGACCCTAGCGGGAACATACTGGGTACGGCTGCTGTACTGCTGTGTGCTGTCATTCACACCTTCCCGACTGCCGCCCCTTTCCCCTGGTTTTCCTTGAGAGTCAAGAGCCGGACCACGTCCGTGCCGAGCCTCTCGACCCAGCGGTACACCTCCGCCGCGGTGCCGTCCGTCGAACCGTCGTCCACAACGATCACCTCATAGGTGAAAGAGCTGCGGTTGGTAAGGGTACGGTGGTTGATTGCCAAACGCCATACCGGCGTTGCTACGAGGACAGCAGTCCCAGCACGGACATGGAAGCAGCACGGCGTACATGAAGCTAGCGGTAACGTTACGAAGAGAGCAGCCTCGCACGGACACGGCAGCAGCACGGGCGTACGTGAAGCTTTCCATCGAAAGGAATGGCGGCAGTACTGCGGCGGCTTGCTTTCGTTTCCGTGCAACCAGAAGCGCGGCCATCCAACGCTCGACTCTGAGAAAGAAACAAAAGTTAAAGTTGGTATCTCCATTCGGGCCACCGAGTGGGCCCCAATCCTCCCCCCTCGTGCCGTGCAGCCTCGCTGCCGAATAACACAGTTGTTGGGCAAAGCGCAGGCATGGTGGTGCTACGTAAACGCCCCCGTCTCAAAAACGTTTCGTGTGGTATTGTACGTAAAGCATCTGCTGAATACTCTCTGCTGCTGCTGCTGCTGCTGCACCAAAGCTCCAACGCGTTTGCCTGTCTGACCGACTGCTGTCTTAAAATACACCACAGCCTGAGGTGACTCTTCTCACCACACCTGTCTGCAGTTTTTCGGCGAGTGTTGAGGTAGGTGAAGGTATCCTTGAGCATCCCCGGAAGCCTATCTTCCTCGTTGTGTGCGGGCACGATCACGCTGAGAGTCTTGCTTGGAGGGTCCCCGCAGACGGGAAAGGCCTCCTTGTTTGATCTCTCCCTGTGTTCCCATTGCCGCCGCGCAAACGAATTAAAAAGTAAACATAACACATCAGTTGTAGTTGAAGATGAGAAAGTCTGCTTTAACACCTTGAGGATCACATGCACGCACAAGCGTCTTGCTTGGAGGGTCCCCACAGACGGGAGGAATGCTCCTTGCTCGACCTCTCCCCTTTGTTTTCATCGCCGCCGCGCAGACGCAACATGAAGGTAGCAAAGCGGACGGCCTCCGCGAGAAATGAACCGTATATGAGGAAAAAAATCAGGGAGGGGGTAGCAAACATGCGCACAACCCACCCCTTACCCAACTTCCCCGACTGTATGCTGTATCCAACATGTTTTTTTTCACGTATATTTATTTTCTGAAAAACCCTCCGAAGGCTACACTGCTGAGCAAAAGCATTCACACGTAACACAGCAGCTCTCTCTCTCTCTCTCTCTCTCTCTCTCTCTCTCTCTCTCTCTCTCTCCCGCTCCCTCCCTCGCCAACGTGTTGTGTCGTGGTACGCACCCGCCCGGCCCGACGCCCCAGAAGTAGTCCTCGGACTCGAAGCTCCTTCGCCGGTGGGCCCTCGCGGAGACCAGGGGCTGGACGAACCACGCCAGGGCCGGCGCCGCCACCAGGCCGAGCGCGCCCAGCGCGGCATTGGCCGGGGTCAAGCCCGGCGGCAGGATGAGCATGATGTCCCCGCGGGCTGAGCGGTGGGGTTTCCTGGAGAGTTACAAGTACTTGCGGCGGGATCGGCTGCTGCTGCTGCTGCTGCTGCTGCTGCTGCTGCTGCTTCCGCCGCCGCCGCCGTTGGTTGTTGTTTCCCGCCCCTCTACTAACAGACTAGTGCTGCTGTTTGGATGGGGTTGCGAGAGAACAACAAGCTAGAGAATTGGCTTCTTACACGGGTAACATGTCATCGTACGGAGTATGCGTAAGAATAGGGCTCGACTATCATACACGATGTGTGCAGTTTACTCTCGAGATATTTACCACCAGCTTTACAGCATATGTAACTGCTCCAGAAGATGTACATAGCAGGTGAAGGGGCTCGAACGCGTCGCTTTCTGGCGAGCTAAGGAAAGTACCAGCAAGAACGGAATGCTTGCTGCATGCGTACCAGCATCAACCGCTGCCGTATGAAAATGTACGGCAACCCTCTCTCCGTTATTTAGATACGCATCACTGCGAACAACAACACCATCGACTGATCGATCTACATATGTATATCTTGCCATTGTCGCGACACCACAAGTACGTGATGCGAGATCCGAACGTGTTGTCTGTGCCTCACGCCACCTACGATGCCAATGAGCTCTACGCCTGTGGATTGTGGTCATACTGCACACGAACCGTACCACACTGCAGTCTACCCACCGAGCTGCAGAGTAGCTGCCTGCTGTTGCTGTACCAGAGAACAATCTATTGCTGAGTTCTGCTGTGGATGCTACGTGGAGAAACACGGCATGTCTAGACGGCGACTTAGTTACAGCGCCTTCGACCTTCTATAAACGTTGGGTAGCCTCCAAGCAAGCCTTGATTCATCTGTTGCTATGATAGGTACAACACGGCACGCACCCACCTTCTCAGATGTCTTCGGATCCAGCAGCCAGCCTACACCGCGGTTGTGATATATTTTGGTGAAAACTACAGCAGTATTCTTGTCGCACAACAAAATTTGCGAAGCTCCAGCAACTATCCAGCAATGCTCATCTCTACAAACAACACCACCACAGCGCGAGGAAACGAGGCAGGAGGAGGCTCACGAAGAGGTGACACACCACACACCAGACACTGGCAGCACCAACCTCGACCTCCGCAGCCTGGCTTTGCAGTTTGAAGCAGCCTCTGCTGTGGGGGCTGGGGGGCAAACGTTTTTCGGCGGGGTGGGGGGGAGGGGGGGCACGCAGAATTCAGACACACTAAATCAAAGATTCCATTCGAAAAACAAATGACGAATCTGAAAATGATAGGAAGAGCTCTCTCTCTCTAGCCCACACGCTCAATTCATTTTGTGTCGTCTGCCCGCCTGGTGCCTGCCTCCGTCACATATACCCGCCCCAGCGCAATCAACTTTGGTTGGAACATCAATCCGATTCGCAAAGGCACGGCCCCGCACCCTCCACCTTTGATGACCAACGCGTCCTTGGTGTCAGCAGCAGCGGTGGTGCTCAATCTGTGCTCGAGACTCCCGCTTCTCGCTATCGCCGCCGCTCCTCTTTCCCTAATCACACAGCCGACGAGCCTATTCGGTAGGCAACTTCAAGCAGTTCAAGCACCCAGCAGCAGCAGCAGCACCTCGGCTTTGACGGCGATGACTACTACCCACGAGGACTTCGAGACCTACGACGGTGGAGACTACAAGATTTTCGTCGGCAGGGTGAGTTAAGGTTGTTGGTACATAGCTCAAACGCCGTCGGAGCTAGCTAGCTGGCCCTTGGCCAAGTGCTTTTTTTTTTTTCCGGCGGCGTTGTTGTTAACCCGGCGAAAGAATCGGAACCAATGCACGGCACTTGTGGTCTTATCTGGTGGCAGGCGTCGCACGCCCACCACATGCCGTTGTAGCCTTAGGGAAAAAATACCGTTTGCCTGCACCCCTCTGCTGGGAGCAAGGGCGTCCTCTGCTCCCCACGGCACCAACAAGAGTATGGTGATAAGGATGGCGACCGTTGAATGCAAAAACAAGCTTGATTGACATGATGTAACCGAAGTGCCTTTTGCGTGCTTGGATCTCTACCGCTTGCTGCTTGCTGCTTGCCAACACGTAAAAGGGGATGGAGAGGTTCAGGAGAGGTGAGGTGGCAGGCTCCGTGAGCGACTTCGATCGCGCCATCAGCCTCCAGCCTCGCCTAGAGGCCTACATGTGGCAGAGGGGCATCAGCTTATATTACGGTGAGTCACGGAAACGGCAAAACCAGTCGAAGCGTTTGTTGAATGTGGCGGATGGTTGGAGGTTTTACAACGTCCAACGATTTTTGCGTGGTGGTCTCTGCCTGGAAATTTCTTGAGGTTGCTGTGTGTTGTGTTGCGTGCTCTGATGCTCTCGCCGCCGTACCCCGCAATATTGCGGTAGGGGAGAGAGCGGGGCCTACATAGCAGGCTTTGACGTGTCCCTGTGTAGTGGCTGTGGTGAGCAATGCTATCTATCGGTGCCGTTTAAACGCTTTTTGAAGTAGCGTCGTACGATGCAGCATATGTCACTTCCACTTTCGAGCTTGTCGCGGACTACTTGCCATTTTTTGAAGATTTTGGGGTCATGAGCGACGTCAGCCTCTCAGCCAACGAGATCCTGTATCCATCAGGCTTTCTCCCCCCACCCACTGCAACACATCCCCTTCCACTACTGTTGTGGAGTTGTCTCCAACAGGTAGCCTCCCAGTCATTGCACTCGCTTCTTGATGTGGAGGTTGAGTAGTGTCGTCACCCCTTCACCGGTTTGGGTACGTCGTAAATCGGCATTTTTTTTTTTTTGTTAATATGATTTTTTTAGAACAGCAGTTCTTTTCAGCTCTACTAGTAGCGCAGGCCAGGTCCCGTCATGTATCATGCGTATGCATGCTTACATGCGTCCGCATGTTTGAGCGGTAGTACTGACTGTACGGAGAGAATGCACGCGCATCCTGGTCTAAGTACTGGCTTAGTGGGTCGGAGACGGCGCCAATCGTACGAGGAGCACATGCAAGGCACATGCAGAGACAGCACCAGGCCTTGCTTTCGCCTTGCTTCCGGTGCTGTTCTGTTGGGCCGCTCGCAACTTCAAATTGCCCTGCGAACAGAAAAGGAATGCATTACAGCAGTATGCACCACATGCGTGTCAGGCCACCTGGTGTTGAGAAGCAATGGGCAACGGGCCGAAGATTTATTTACCGGAGTACTAGTGCTGTATCCTCGTATCCGCTATTATGACCTTTGCCATAAAAGCGTACAGCAGTACACAAATACACCGTTGCTACAACGGGCGTCATGATTGCTTTCCCAGCGTAAAATACCGACGTGGGAGTTTGACAACAGGCTTCTGCTACAAGTAAGCTCAGTAATTATTGGTTCGCATGTCCCTCAAAACCGTACCGCAGTACCTGTGCAGGATGTGTAGTCCAACAACAGCAGCTAGTCCCATCGAACTGGAGGGTTTTACAAATACCTCGTATACTATGATATCTCGAACGGGCTGTCTTGTTCGTCTTAATTTTCGCATGAACTTCGCATACAACGATGTACGTTGAATACATTCTTAAAGCAATACATCCGTATCCAACATTAGTCTTTCGGTGAGGGTGACGTATTTTTATAAAAAAAATCCCGACTTGGGCCGCACCACCCCCACATGTTTTGGAGTTTTTGTCTCCTATGATATATATGTACATGCCCAAATAGCGTTGTTCCGAAGTGGTATTGTATTTTTACAGCGTGCATGCACTGCTATATACTCGAAGGCTGTTCCATATCCCGTTTCTTTTGCCCTCGTCCTGATTTCCTCTTCCACCTTCCCATCCGCTCTCTTTCGCTTGGCTGCTAAATACTATTTGTACCATGTTTCTTTCTTTTCCGTCGTTTTCGTTTTTGGTGGGACACGTCATCCGTGTTTTGGTCTCCGATGTGACGCGACGCGATGTATCTAATTTGCTTGCATCTTGGATTCGAAAAACGACCTGGCCTGGGCAGCCGACCGGTTCGAGGAGGGGTCCCGGCAGTTCCGTAAAGACGTGTGAGTAAAATACAAACTACAATCAGGGAAAAGGATGCAGAGCGTACCTCGGATTGTCGTTGCCATTGCTGCTCCTCCCCGCCGCACCTCTCTGTATTTTTGTTGGAAAAATGATACACGCACAGAAAGAACTATATCCATTCGAGATATACGCACAGCAGTCGAACGGGATTTTGTGGTAACGACGTACGTACGTATGGTAGTGGTATTTTCTATTTTCCCCCGACGAATACCCGCAGGCGTTACTCACGATCGAGGTGCCTACTACGACACACGGGAATGTATCACGATGCCTCCAAGAGCATGCATGCTTTGTCTGCATCATGCGCTTGTGATGGTAGTGACGCAGAGTACCCCCACGGAAAAGTTTGCGCTGGCGCCAGAACGATAGTGTAGGACGAAAACGTTCGCGCACAAACGTGGCCGATCAATCGTTTTTTTTTGCACACATGCCCCGCTCCCCGTTCAGCTTCACCAACACCTGTCTGGACCGGATGAATGCATGCGCTATATATATCGTAGCACCGGCGTCTGCATCAGCCAGTTCACAAACGCGTGAACTTTCTCCTTGCTACTACTCATTGGAGACGGGACAAAAAATCCAGCGTCTTTATCGCAACCAACGGCGATATATTCCCGCGTCCTGTTTGATGCTCACCTCTCGCCTGTCGCGTGTATCAACACCCCCTCTGACTCCCCACACCGCATGGCTCTAATGGTTTCCTCCCCGCTCACCTGCTCTTGTCTGGTGCAGCGCGTTGAATCCTAACGACACCGAAGAGGCGATCTGGACGTTCATGTGCGAGTCGAGGATACCAAGCGTTGGGTTCGCCACGGCAAAGCAGAGGCTCGTCAAGATCTCCAAGTGAGACGAACGACGCGAGGTCGCTACAGTAGTTGTGCGTGTTATCGCACCCCCGCGTTGGCGTTTTTGCATGGCGTATTTCTCCACAAACACGGGGGTGCGATAAGACGCACAATTCCGGGATACTCCGCACTCCCAAGGACTGTTACCGACCAATCAGCAGAAAGTTCAGCGGCGCCGTACGTTGACCAGTAGGATATAGCGTCGAGCGCTTTCATGCATTTCAAATCATGTTTAAGTTGTCCACGCGTGCATGTAGTGTCGGAGCAGGGTGATGGTCGCGTTGCGCACACACCGCGTTTGTAAGTTGCTAAATCACACTCGCGCTTTCGTGACATTTTTTCGTTTGATTGTGGTTTGCCCTACTGCTGTATATATGGGCAAGTACCGGTACGCGGGGAAATATATGATCGGCAAAAACTGACCCCCCCCCCCTACAGGGGTATCACACTGTTGAACACAGTAGGAAAAGTGTTTTGTAAGCTGCTGAACGATAGGATAGTGGGAGTAATGGAGAAGAAACGTAGCATTAGTGAGGGCCAGGCAGGTTTCCGACAGAAGAGGGGGTGCGTAGACCACGCATTCACGGTAGGGAGAATCATCCAAGGTAGAAAGAGGGCGGGAAAGCGGACGTACTGCTTCTTCCTGGACGTGAAAAAGGCATACGATACCGTATGGAGAAATGGGCTGTGGAAACAATTGTCCAAGTACGGGATGAAGGGGAAAATGTGGAGAGTGCTGAAGAAGATGACAGAGTGTACGAAAAGCGCGGTCATGCTAGACGGAGAACTTTCTAAATTCTTCGACATTGAGCAAGGGGTCCCACAAGGTTGCACGCTGTCCCCAACATTGTTTCAGGTGTTCATCAACGATCTGTTGGAAGTCGTAGAGGCAGTCCGGAAGGGAGTAAAAGTAGGGGACACGGAAACTTCGGTGTCAGGAATGCTGTTTGCGGATGATTTTGTTGGTATGTCGGACACCCCTGAGGGACTGCAACTACAAATTGACGCGGCGAAGAAGTTTACTGATAAGTGGAGATTGTCTGCCAACGTTACGAAGAGTGCCGTCATGGTATGCAACGAGGGCAGGGAGGAACCAGTAGAACATAGATGGAAGTGGGGGATCGAGGAGATTGCAGTTGTGGACCAGTACACATACCTCGGAGTAGAGATCGCAAAAGATTGCTCGTGGAATACACACATGTCCAAGGTAGCGGAAAAGGGCAAAGCACGAGCAGGGAAGCTGCACCCAATACTCGCAAACCGGCACCTTGATACACGCATCAAATTGACGGTTTTGAAGAGCGTAATCGTACCGCCGCTAGAGTATGCCGGAGAAGTATGGGAAGGAAATAAGAAGGTAGTGAAAGAACTCGAGGCGGCGCAGATGAAAGCAGCGAAAATCATCCTAGGATGCTCCAAGCGCACAAGTAATGCAGCAGTCAGGGCAGAATTGGGGATCCAATCCCTACGGTCGGGAAGAGACGTAAGGAAGCTGACATGGCAGTATCGCATGTGCGGGATGGGAGAGGAGAGATTGCCGAGAATAGTATGGGAGGCGAAGTGGGCAAACAAAAAGAGGGGTAGACAACCCACGGAATGGGTCAAGGTTGTAGAGGACGTATGGAAGGGATTGGACATCGACGAAGATGAAACGCTTGAAGCGGAGGGTCTACAGGGGTTCAAGAAGAAGATATCTGTTGCTTGTGCCGACAGAGAAGAACAGAATCTAAGGAAAGAATCCAAGGATAAGGAGGGTCTAGAAGTGTACGGAATGTTGAAAGAAGGAATAGGGTTCAAGGATTACCTACATGGACCAATGGATGCAGGGACAAAGCTTAAGGTCAAATTCAGGACCGGGGACATAGGCCTTCGCGAACGTCGACGAAGACATAGGACGGTAGACGACGAAGACGACAAGTTCAAATGTGATTGCGGCTTCGAATGCGAAGACAGTGTTCATGTAGTCGCGGAATGTCCGTGGTACGAAAAGGAGAGGGAAGTGTACATGACTGAGCTGGGAAAAATACAAGGGACGTACAGGGAGATGTTTGAGGCATGGAATAGGGAGGAGAGGACGGTAGCGGTACTGGGGAGTAGAAAGTGGTTTGAAAAGGCGGGAAGGGACATCGCTAGGATAGACAAACTAGGGAAGACATTTTTGAGCCACCTTTGGCAAAGTAGGAAGGAACGATTGGCCATCGGTGATCGGTCCTGTGGGAACAATGCTCCGTCCTCTCGAGGACGCGTGGTCAATGGTCTAACCGCTAAGGCATGCAAAACATAAGAGTACGCCCCCCCCCCCCCCCCCCTCCCGGATTTGGATTTTTCCGCCTTCCCTTGTCCTCGTGAACTCCCTTGCTTTGTGCCTCTTCTCAGCGAGCGACGTCCATACATGCGCGCGGCGTACTCGCTGTTCAAGGGCGATGCTTCGGAGAGCGACCTCGCCAAGCAGATGGAGGGCTCGTTAGGGAGCAACGGCGCCGCCGGTTCGGGGGCCCCGTATTTCTATGCGAACCTGTACCTGGGTCTCTACTCGGAGGCGAAGGGCGACGACGTGCTCGCGAGAAAATGTGAGGAAGCTTCTCGTCTATGCCTATGGTTGTCAGGGGTGCGGGGAGGTAGAATATACTTAGGGAGGTTTAAATCTTAAATATTACTCTTCACCGATGTCAACTACAGTGGGGGGGCCTAAACAACACTCCGCTCATCGGCGGGCGCTTACAGTATTGATTGAACAAGCTGGCTTGGGTGATTCAGTCTGTGCCCGGCAATGTCACCCGGCGCCTCTGCAGGGCCACCGGCGCTGATCAACGGGCGTTATCGACGCCCCCCCGCCACTGTAGTAATAGTGGTGCTGCGCAGGGCGAAAATATCACTGTCACGTGAAAAAATCCAACGGCGCTGCTGTAGTGCGATATGGCTGACCCTTCCGGCTACATAGCCGACATTACCCGCTGTGGTACGTTTGGCGTGCATTCGTTCCACGATCTGTGTTTCGTGTTTTTTTGTAATTTTTTTCTTACAAAGAACGGAAAGATCCATATCTTCCATAGATAAGAGTCCGTGGTAGATCAACAATGAATTTATCGTTGTATGGTGACGAACTTACTCAAGTGTAGTCCCAACCGTTCCCCGAGCGGTGTCTCCCCCGTGTGGGTAACAGGCTCGGTAAGACAGTTCGGCGGCCGTCTTGTGTTTTCTCTCAAGAGGCTTGATAACGCGTCTCGTCTCTTTTCTCTCCCCCCTCATGCTGTCGTCAGACATTTCCGCGGCGGTGCGGTCCCCGTACTCCAAGTCGGGAGACTACATGTGCGACGTGGCACGTGTGCACCAACAGGCCAGAGGATGGTGAGAGCCTGCACATGAAGCGCTCGCTCTTTTGTGCTCTCACCCACTCACCTCTGCCTGACACCTGTCTGTAGTGTTCTACGTACATGTAGCCCGGTAGGTTGACTTGGTAGCCCGCCCCTCAGGCGTTACGCGTCCGCAGTCTTTCCATTGGCGCCGCTGATTGGCCGAATGGTGTCGCATGAAGTCAGCCATGGTCCAAAAATTCCGTGGGGCCGTTGGTGTGTTTACTTTTTTTCAGCCTGGCATGTGGCATCTTGATGTTGTTGAAGCTGTCGGCGTCGCGCGCAGGCAGCGATCGTGGTGCCGAACTGTAGCAGCCGCTCGCTGCGGTGGTACTCCGGCAGTATGTACAGCTCTGGTGATAGAGGTGTTGGATGGGTAGTGGTGACGTTCGTTTGTCTCGGCGGTGTTGGTCCTGATGCGGAGGAGGAGGCATTTCCTCTGTGGTCATTATTTTGGATGTTGTTGGGCGTCAGGGTTTGTTACGCAGAACAAGGTGGTGGAACTAGTGTTCGCGGGGTGCATGTTTGAAGTGACTGTAAGAGGTTAGTAGGCAGAACCGCGGTGGCAAACGTCGGGACGACTTTTGGTTGCAGCGTGCATGTTGGAAGTGGCGTCGGGGTCTGGTTGGGTGCAGGACAAGGGTGTGCCGAACGTCGTGGCGTCAGTGTTAGTAGCGTGCATTCTGGGTGGATAGAAGAGAAGTGTTGTCGGAGTCTAGTTGGGGTCATGGCACTAACCCCCTCGGGTTAGCTGTTGGAAAGTCTGCGGTCGTCGCTGTGGCCCTTGCGATTCGTTGGATAGGGCAGAGCATGCAAGGGCGTATTGCTTCCGCATTGCTTCTTGGGCACCGACCGCGTCTTCACTCGGCTTTTATTTTGGGGTGGAACAAGGAAACAGCCACCTCTTGTATCTATGGGTATTGGATGGCGGATTATTCGATATTTGTAACGACATCTAGTTTCAAGGGTCTCTCTGTCGTCTGTCACACTAGGTGAGTTTTTTTTTCGTTGTTGTTACCGCTATGTGGAGGGCACGGAACGAAAGTGATTCGCCTGCTGTTTCGCTTGCATTCGTGCGTGGTGTTCATTTGGTCTTGATGTAGGACATCTACATACATAGCTTGTCGGGTTTGTTTGTAGCCCGTGCTTGAAGGCGCCATGTCTCATTGTCTCTCGTTATCCGGGGTCAGTAATGATGTTTGGGTTCTTAGAAGTTACAGCGGTGATTGTCCTACTCTATAGTGAGCTTTAGGAAGGGTGCTGACTGACGGACAGAGATGGCTTTAATCAGGGTGAAACTGGAGTGAGTTGAGTCGAGAAGTCTTTTCCCAAGGGGCGGCATACTACAAGGGAAGCAGCACTTGGCGTCTCTGTGGTAAATGGCAGATAGTTGGAGAACGAAAATCAATCATGGATTTCAAGGTGCAGGTGGAGGCTTTTGTTCTCGTGTGATGTGAAAGGGGCACAAGAAGCCGAGCATGGGACCTATCGCAATCCTGCAGACGCCACCACCTAACTAATATTTTCGTGATGCTTACGTAACTTGAACGTTTTCTTTTGTTCTTCGGTCGATACATTTATCTTTCTCGAGTTAACATCTCGATCCTCGAACTTAAAACCTCTTTTGTCGCTGTTGGAAAAGAACTGCGAGCCTCGGGGGAAAATGAGAGGAAGGCTCTGTTTGGTGTGGTGGCGCCATCATATCTACGCGAAAGCAGTTTTTGCCGTATCTATCCATACCGTGCATCTATGGGGCTGCAGATGCGCACGAAAACCAGCGCAAAGCAAGGCATACTCCGAGTATATATGTATGCGGCAATCACCTCCTGTGTTACTTGCATGACCGGGCGAGTTGCTTATTATGGACCGGCGACGCGATATTGAAATTATTTTTGTTTGATGTGCTATGTATATGTAGCTCGGTTGCTGACGTTTGGGGTGGGAATAGGCGGGGTCACAACAGACAGGAACAATCTATGTTGGGGTGCCTATTTCGAAACGGTTTAAGGTTCTCGGGCAGTTTCGGTTTCACCCTCGAGGGAGAACGAAATGAGAAAGAACAACTAATTAACCCTTCGTTTCACATCTATTTCGCATTTGTTTTTTCATGTATACAGCACGACTCGGTTCGTTACAAAGAAAAAATGTACCATGTGTGTATGTGGTGCCCCGTCAGCAAAAAAAGGAGCTGCAGAATCAAAAGCCCAAGAAGTATGCATCAAAACCAGAAGAGCGGCAAAGCTCACAGAACACCCCAAGGCCCGATAAAGTTGACACAAGAACATCGCAACTCTGTCGTCCATACATGACATACCAGGTTGCGGCGATAGATAGGCTGTATTTTTTTGCAGCCACACTCTCACACCACACGGGCGAGAGGGACAAGACGCCCCCGCAGGCCTGCGCTCGCTCACAGGAACTCCAGGCGGTGATTGATGTGTTACCGCAGGTTGGTGTTGGTGCTGGTGGACCACCCCCCGCCAAACAAATCACACACAAAGCGTCATCATCATCACACACAGTAGATACATACACCCAAGGACACGCTGAGGGTCGGGATACAAAGAAAGCCGTTATCAACGACGATGACGGTGATGATGGTACCTAACAACACCGCGTGCCACGAATACAACATGCGTTCGTACGTGGCGTAAGACCCGGGAAGAGGACGGGCGGGCGTGTGTTCACCGTGAACGATGCATTTGTTTCCAAGAAAAACGTGGCGTCTCACATGCACCCACTCGGTGCCTCTCGACGCTTCGTGCGTGCGTCCTTGCACGATGCAGCAGCAGTCACTCACTGTAGTACCAGTAGTCGCGAACACGTCGCTACATGCATAATGCGCGGGAGGACCAAGCATTTAGAAACCACACGACAAATAAATGCGAGGTCGGACGCACGTAGGGTTAACAGGGTCGAACAGCAGTCGGCGGGGCCTGCTACGCACGTAAACGGTAAGGTCTTGTGCGGCAATAGGAAGGAGGGAGGGAGGTACAAACAGGAAGGATAGGTTATTTATCCAACAGAAAGTCTACACGACGACCGCAAAAAAAAAAAAGAAGGGAAACAGACAAGCCACACACCAGCTACACGATTTGCACCCACCTCTCCCGTATCAATGGTCTCATCCACGGTAACATCAACGGTCATATCAGCGGTCCCTTTGTTGATCTGACCAACAACCGCGAACACGAGACGGCTGCTACAAGCGCCTGACGACATCGCAGCACACAGGCCAACCACCAGTCTTTGTCTTTGATATCGTCTCCGTCCAACTCTCTCTCGTTTTCTAGCCTCTCTGCGCTGTTGTTGCGGTCGGTGCAGGCCGACATCTGAGAAAGTGTCAACCTTCGTATTCTACCTGCATATAATCGAAGCGCGTGTCTAACGGCGAACGGGGAGCCGCGCGTTCACAGCCTCGCGACAAACCTTAACCTTCAAACTGCCTTGCAAGACAACCTCACGCATCAAACACCTCCCCCTCCGCGGAGGACACGGTATGCGTGCCCCTGCCCTTACCCGTAGGATACCAGCTGGGCTGCCCCGGAACGGCAGCATTGACCCGAAACCGATACAAAAACGCCTACAGCAAGGGTTCTCCGAAAATCGATCCTTCCATCCCACGGCACAAACAGCCGCGAAAGACGAAAAAACAAAACGTCTCCCCGCCGCCGGTCGCCCAGAGAAAAGGCTGTCGTCCTTTGTCGTCGCCGCACGAAGCCCACTAAACAGACCACAACCGCGCAGCTGATCGACCAATCAAACCATCAAGCGTACTGGCGGCCGAATGGTCCCAGCTCCGTGCCGATGTTGTTGTCCAGGCCGGTCGCCATGTACCGGACTCCGGGCTGCCGCGTGCCGCTCTGAAACTTTCCCCACGCCCAAACGCCGCCGACGCCCACAACTCCGCCCACCGCGACCACGCCCATCACCGACAAGCCGAGGCTGATCATCCCGCCTCCCTCACGCCTACCGTCTCGTCCATCGCCGAATTCTTCTCCCTGGTACTGTAAAGCGACGCACGAGGGGATCCGTCGAGGGATTAGCGGTAGACTTTCGGGAGGATAATTAAGTTTGGTCTTAGTAGCGGTTGAGGGGTTTAACGTTAGGGTCACCAAACCCCAATCTATATTTTCGCATATGCAACGTAGTGGTTCCAATTACAGTGGCACCCTGAATAGTGAGATGCCCGATATAGTGGCATCAAAATCTCTTGTCACAATCTCAAAATGTATAGAAGTACAATTTTACGAACCTGATATATCGAATAGTGGCACTGCCCTTAATTGTGACACATTTTGCTCTTGCTCCTACATGACACAAAATGTACAACGCTTACTATCGTCGCGAAGTCGGGTACGTACGTACCAGTGCTTAGGCGGGTATTCTAGAATGAGGCACTCGAGAGGAGTGTAGGGTTCGCCGGATGGACAAGACATGGCGCGAAATACAAGTACAACGTGGGATATGTATACGCGAACAAGGACCAAGCATATCATTCTATCCCCCTCACACATATGCGGAAGCCTAGTCTCGACAAAGCGAATAAACAAACGCCTTTCAGAGGGCATTCCATTTTGCCAAAGTCTTAGTAGACCCCCCCTCATCATGTGTGATCGTCGCTAGTCCAAATCGCGTCCCTTTGTCGCCAGCCCTCAGCCGCTCTCTGACAGGGCCGGAGAACGCTAAACAGTCTCGCGATTTTATTGCCCATGGTGTTATGTACACCGCTTGTGGCGCATAGTGATCGCGGATGCGATACAACCCTGTCGTATCCGAAGGCTACTGAACGCCACGCCAAAGGCTGGTGCTCCGCCAAGCAAACTTATACAGCCGCCTCTTTTGCCCGCAGGCCCAAAATGCTTTTCGCAACACAATGAATGATACAACAAACAAACCCCTCAACCATGGATTCGAAAAAAAAATAACGCGAAACTATACCTCTCGTAACGCGATGATAAAACAACAAACCCGAGGCACAGATTGAAACAGCAAACCTGCAGCCATGCAGCAGTAGATTCGAATTAAAAAAAAAAATCTTCAAAGTAACGCGTCACCCTTCTCCTTACCTCCTCGGAGTTCATAGAAGGCTGGCAGGCTTTCGGGTCCGAAGGGTGTGCTTCCTGATGGTGGAAACATAACCGTGACCAAGTCGACAAAGAGGTGACGTCAGCGTGGAGGATACAGGCAACAAGAGCTGAGAGGCGAGACACAAGAAAGGAGGGGGGAGGGGCTAAGGCCTCAGTAGCGAACCGCGGGGGGACATCGCTGCCCGAGGAATCGTAGTAGAACCGGAGACAGCCGTTGGTGGGCTGTGTACTGCATGCACCCCACAGACAAAATATTGTCTCCCCAAAACCAAAAACAATTAATTAATTAATTAAATAAACACACCCCATATAACAATAATAATCTCATTGTGTGTATTATATGCCACCATCTCCGGAAAACACAATCATCGGAGGCTGCGAGGCCGTGGCGCTCCAATCACCGAATAAAGACAAACAAGTTGTGTGAAACGGCTCAAGCGCGTGGCGACGGATTCACCAGCACCTGCTGCCACCCGGCCCTCCTACGCATAATACATCACGACAACGAAAGCAAGATTATCACGAAAAAAGACCAGGCAGGGGCGCACGCAGACGCTGACCCCAACCCTAACTTATCCGACTCTACGCGTTATCCAGTATGTTTCCTTGCTTCGAAAAACCCGCGAAGGGAACTGGGACCAACAAACCAACCTGTCCGGGGGGGCAAGGGCCAAAGGCGTTGGGGAGGTGGGCGGGGTGCTCCTCCTCCTCCTCCCCCCCTATCCCCGCCTCGGCGGTGCTGCCTTCCTCCTCCTCCTGCTGCTGCTCTTCGAGCTTCTTCGTGTTCTCCGCAGGGAGTACCGCAACAATGGCGTCATCTTGAGAGTCCTTTTCTTCGGGAGTGAGGTCTACTTCGGCGACCACTGTTGGCGTGGGCACGAGGGAGGGGGAGGGGGGGTTAGTGTTCGCCTTGTGGGCTAGGGTTAGGGGTAGGGGTAGCGTTTCTCAACATTGGTGACTGTTGGCGTGGGCACGAGAGCGGAGGGGGGGGGGGGGGGGGGAA